ATTGATAGTTGTTTGTTTGTTCTCTAATAACCACGAACTTGTTGTTCAGCACATTTGCGGCGGCCACTGAGCTTCACAAGTCTGTTTTGCGATTTTTGCTCCGTTCCGACCATTTTCCACTTTATAACCCATTTCCACATTGTTCATTTGCATATTTGGCACTGAAATGACACCCACTCTCGCTGTCTGTGCTCCACGGCGCAGTTGTGTTGGAAAATCCATGAAATTGGCGGTCTTTATCATTCGGCTGCGCTGTTTCTGGCGCGTGCTGCCTATTTTTATTTGTCATACGTTGAACATCGACACTGTGCCAATTGCTCAACGTCATCGCCAATCAATAAGTATTTTTTTCGTGGCGGAAGCCGATGTCCTCCCATCGAAACTGTTACGCTGATATTTCACTGTTCCATAGTATGCCCTTTAGTTTTTATTTTTTCATAGTTCTTGTTCATTTTTATACCAAAGAATAACTGCCGTATTCCTCATAGCCTGAAGTTCTGTTGTAGCGCTCTGCGGTGCGGAGCTAGGTGGTATGTGAATCAGTTCAGCGTCAAAATCGCCCAAAAACGTCTAGAAGCCTGTACATTGCACCACTTTCAATGTGCCAGAATACATATCAGTCTTCTTTATTGATTCTGCCTTTTCTGTCATAATGGATAAAGTATATTTTTCTCACCAATGTACGGTGCTGCCTAAACGAATTCGCGGGTGATTCATTTTTTCGTAATAGCAATTTCCCACCATTGATTCTCTTCGCCGTCAGTGAATTCTTCCGAATCCCTGGTTGTAATAATGTTTTTGTAGGGTTTTGAGCCGCTGCGTGCCGATGTCCCGTCAAATGCTAGAATCGGAGTTTCCCCTTCACAGACTCGTATATCTCGATGATGTAGAAGAACTGAAAAAGGTGTTAGATGAATCCGAGCCCGACCAATTGGAGAAATTGGATTGTCGCGGGAGGCAAGTGGAGTTGATTTAAATGTTTATTCCATTAATTTGCCTCAACAGGTGTGACCACATTCATTGATCAAAATTTGGTGTACGCCACGATACGACGCGCGCGGTTGCGAGGCGGTGAGCATAGCTGCTCCGCGACCACGCGCATCACATCACGGTTTACAGTGGATTTTGATCTCAAGCCTCGAAGTCCATATCGCGATTGCTGCCGATTGCCATCGTTACAAAAATAAGCGCTAGAAACGTGATCATTACGGGCGAAAATAGCCACTATTCGACCGCCTTCAGCATTTAGCTGATGGATGTTTGAGGACGCGTAACCAGCTTTAATTTTGGTGACCCTTTATCGTTTTTTTGGACCGGGTACGCTTGCAAAATGGATCCGTTTCGTATAACATGAGAACAAGCCCTTTGATCATGTCTTATTGGTCGCTGTTGCTCAAAATTGTATTATAGAACGCCGTTGATGCTTGCTGTAACAATGGGCCCACAAACAGTGTGCATTCGAACTTCTGAAACGAGGAGCAAATGCAGACGCACAAAACAAAGGTATTCGATTTTTGGAATTCTCCTATTCTTCGTCATTCCGTCCCCATTTTCATCGAATTTATCGTACGGATTGAGGAATGTGGTCAGTAAGTCACGAAGCGATATCGTTTCGTGATCCCGAATTGGTCAGGAATGTTATTATGTATCGTGATTATCAGAGAAGTGTTCGAGGTGCTCAAAGTATGAAGAACTGCCTCAAGACATTAGAGGTCTGCATTTCTCTTTGTTTTCTATACTTCAGAGTATGTATTGATTTTCTATGAGCGTTTCCTTTAGGGTTCTCCGGATTTCTACTGTGAAATGGGCTGGGAATTCGCAAGTTGGGTACCATTCATCAGTCGAATGTGTCCATCTGATACATATAAGGTGGTTTCTTTTGTCATTCATTGCGTTTACGACTTCACTTTAAATTCGTATAGCCTATTGTATGAGGTTCTATCAATTATGGAGGGCGGAAGTGGTGTAGTGGCAAGTGGCACGCTTACCACGCGAGCGGTCCGGGGATCAATCCTGGGTCGTGAGTCGCCCGGGCCAACCAAGCCTTCCATCCCTCCGGGGTCGGTTAATTGGTACCAGACTTGTCTGGGAGGATAAAAACACTGACTTGTACATCGGCTGGCCCCCGCAAGTCATTGTATAGGCCACATCGCATTCAAACGCCACTACGAATGTACAAATGGAAGTAGAATGCGTGCCGCATCCCAAAAAGGGATTGATCAACGGCAAATGCTTTATCCTTTATCCTTTATTTAATTTCTATTACAGATATATAAACAAGGTTCTAAGTAGCGGATCGACACGACCTTAGTCGGATTCGAAGCATCCAGTTGGAAAAGAGGGAATCAGACTTATATTTTTCGACTGGATGAAAATTCCTTGCCAGAATTCATCATTATAGATCACGAGTCGAAAACGGTAAGGATATTCGAAGTTGATGAATTTTGTTATGAATATTATTTATTTAAGAACTTTTAATTTTTTATTATTATTATTTTATTATTGTATTTATTAATAACATTTGGAGCGATGTTATTTGAACTCTGATTGAGGTTCCTTAAGAATAAGGTAACAAAAATTCCGATGATTCTCTTTCTTTAGCGTCATGGGTTCTCTTGAACTTAACTTTAGGGTTAGACTAGATTTCAAAACGGAGTTCATCCATAACCAAACTCCAAGTCGCCTTCCGACTGGTGAGGACAGCACTAGTGGTATCGCTGCATTTCGAAACCCTCTTCCCTGTACCAATCCATTGAAAATTAAGTCTCAATTCTAGAATCTTCTGGAGTCTTTCGAATTTACTGTTGTAGGCAACCAAGCAAACTCTCCATGACGATGAGACATTAGAGGAGTTTAATCCGTCCGATGAAGCTGTACAGATGCGGTACGTTTTGGCATAAGTAATTGTGGTTCCAATAAGGTTTCATTTGAAATTAGTGAGATTCAGAATGTCATCGCCCATTTCGACAACGTTCATTGATGTCGACAAGATCGGTTTCGAACGATCATATCGTGGCGGTTTACTCGGTTGGATAAGTAGTACAGAGAAGACAGAGACTATCGATGAGTACGAGTGCAAGGTCAGTTTCCTGCGGAAGTTATCGTCTTTGCAAAGTTTTTGTAATGGCGCGGCTGAGAATCGTCCAATCGGAATGCAAAATCTTGTGCAATAAGAGGGAATTCTATTTTTTATTCCGATTTCATTGTCGAGTCACAGTTCGTGGCTGAGCACGGGACGGTCGTTATCTGTAATTTTGTGTGAAATCCTATATTGTTGAGCTGTATGCAACGTTCCGCAGGTATTCAATGCGTCAAACGTAAACCTGGTCACAAAAACCCGCAAGGAGCATTTGTCAGAAGAAGATTCTGCACGTGCAAGACAGGTAAGCGCAGAATTGCTGCTATTGCTACATATGTTTCGACGACTTGATTTCTTTATGTTAACGTTTATTCTTCAGGAGGAGAATCCAAATCTGTTGACGAATCTCTTGACCACAATTCGTAAGATCAGAAACTAGTGAAGAGTCAACAACTGAAAATCTACTGGATACGGGACTTACGGTGTACGAGTACTTAGATGAGGACTTCCCACTGGATGGAGATATTGGTGAGCTGAGGAAATCTTAGTAAACAGTCAAATTTCTTAGTTATCTCATATCTTACGCGTTGTAAAACGCGGTACTATACGCGGTCATAGTTCGCGAATGATCGATTGATCGCGCGATCGCTTGTCAACCAGTAACTGCGAGCTGCGACGGCGACGGAACTTTATTCAAGCTAGTAATTGCTCGACTGACTCGTTGCCTCAGTAAACTAGAGTCGCACCGATGCGCGAATACAACGTTGCTACACCAGAACATCAATCAGTTTCGAATAATTTAAGTTTCTAATTCATAAAATTGCATAGTGTACAACTTAATAACGCTATAGTACGGCAGCGTACGACTTCGCTCAAACCATGTACGTTCTATGGAGAAAATGACTAAGTTGAAAAGTTGAGCTGGTTGGAATCATTAACCCATTATGGACGCGTGCGCACTGGTGGCGCATGCACAATTATACACTGGCCGTTCCGTTATGGTTAATTGATGTTCCTGCGGTAGTTAGCGACACGAATTTCATATTAGTTAGAGTTCATTTATATAATCTTGAATAAGTCTATGAACATTTGTTAAGGTCGACCTAAGAAAGTTACGAAAAAGTCGAATAATTTCAAAGCGACGTTATGGCTAGCTGAAGATTACCCGCTTTCTTTCCAGGTATGCCTATATGATGTTAATTTCTTTTTTGAAAGTTGGAAGTAATTTTTTTCTCAGGAACAAGTAATGCCTATAGTGGATCTGATGGCCGCAAATAGTGCTCATTTTGCTCGATTGCATAATTTTATACGGATGCAACTTCCAGCCGGCTTTCCAGTTAGGATCGGTTGGTGGGCATTCAGTTGTTTCAGTTTATATTGATGTTTACTCTACAATTGGTAGAGACATGTCGCCGTTTCTGTGTATACTTGTGCACGCGTTGTCCTATAAATGCTTTGAAACTGTTCATCCTTTTCACCTTCAACCCCTTCCTGTCTCGAGCTTTTCCCCGAATTTTCCCTACTGAACCCTTTTCGTACAATCCTTCCCTCGCTTCCTTCTCCTTTGGATATTACTTCCCTCACTTCCTCTCTCCCTAGACGAAATCGTGCGATGATCTATTCATTAGCTTAAGCTTGGCTCCTGCCCAATCTTTTTCATATTACAGAACATCATCGTGAGATTTTGACATTTTGTCGGTCTGGTAGATCTCACTTCATTACATCTCTGTTATGTGAAATTTGCTTTTTAGAGATCCCGCTGTTCCACGTCGTCAGTGCAAAGATCACGTTTGGCCAAATCAACGAGCCAGGGCCGTTTGTAACGCCTCTGGAGACAATGGTGAGAATCGATGCCTTGAATGCGTTTGTAGCCACGAATGTTTTGCTTTCCAGTCCGGATTCAAAGTGACAGCTGTCGCCATAGATGACGATGTTTTCACCATACCGCCTTCATATAGAACAGTTGACGATCTCAATGCAAGTTTATGGTGGCCAGAAGACGAACAAGATATGTCGAGTTTGCAGGGTGGTGGAGCTTCCATATGTGAGTTTTTTTATAGAGTTTTATTCTTTTTCTCCTTTCAATCACCTAAGAGTGAGGTTTTCTTCAGATATCCGTCTATGCAACAACAAGAAGAGAGCTCTACACTTCAATTCCAAGAAAGCTTCCGTCGTGGATAGCTGCCGCAAAGCTTGCGCCATGACGGTTCTCAGGCGGTTATGTCCCCATAGGTATTTAAATACTTAGTAATGCTCAGTTTTGTTGTTTTCAATGTTTAATAATAACGTTACCAAGGGACTTGCTCGAAAATAGGTACCTGTAAGTAGAACAATCTAGGCCAATTACTTCCACCGGATGCCGTGCCGTTGTACGATGAGGAAGCGGAAGAACAAAGGCAAATCGCCATAGCGATCAATGAAAGTCTGAGAATGGCTGGGGAATCTTTGCCACCCGAAGAAATTCCACAGGAGGTGGGTGCACCGCTGATAGTGAGTTTTGAAGTTTTATTTCTTTTATCAAAGATCAAGATGTGTCCGCAATACGTTGCAATTGAGCGTGCAGCTTTGGCAATGGATAACAGCGCAGGTTGTCGAGCGTACGTCCAACCCTCATTTGCCTTTCCTTAAAGGGGTACCCTGCACCTACCGCTGAAGTGGAGCACAGCACGAGAAAGAGCTGTCTGCAAACACTGAGGATAACTTCTTCACATGAAATTGCCGGGCAGTGGGCTAACCATAAGGCCTGAAAATGCTAGGGGTCTCTACCCAGAACGTCATAGGTCGTGTCTACTCTCGCTCCTACCCACCTCTCTCGTCCACAACTCTTTTCTCTCTCTTAGGAAGCTCTCATCTCGCTGTCTGCCTTTCGTACAATTCCACGTTCGGTAAGTCGAGTGCTCTTATTTTTATCTTCCGGGTAATTTCTTTTCCCTTTTTCTTTACTATCGGTCTACTTCGCACCAGTACCTCCATTTTTCGGTGAAGTTGCCACTAGCTCAATCAAGGCGTGTGCCATTTAACTAAATTTGGGATAAATGACTATCACTCTTAAGTAATTCATCCCACAAGCCGTGAATTTCGACATGGCGAAGGACTTTAGCCTCTAAATCCTCTTCAACCGATTGTTTCCATGGCGACAGTTTCTTAGTGCGGCTTTGGACTACTTAACTATCATGGCCTTAAGGTTCTCATAAGTCGAATTACTACAGGAGGATGATCCGCTTGCGATAGCCCTCCGTCTTTCTCGTGATGAAGAACAACGACGACAAGAAGAAGCTCGTAGAGAGGAAGAAGAACTCGAGCGGATCTTGCAGCTTTCGTTGGTGGATAAGTGAAGAGCCAAATTGTAAGCCAGTGCTAAATTTTGTACATAGCATATGTTTTACTTGATGCTTAATTTTCTTTCGTTCCCATCGCAGCTCAATCACATGTACTGTTAATGCGAACGCCTCACTCTTGTAATGATGAAATTCTCTGCCCCTCTTTCATGTTTATTCCATTAATTCCATTTCATTGCGCTTTCTAGTTGGTTTGTACTCATCAAGTTATGTAAATACAAGGACCATTGTGTCCTCTATGCTGTTCTCACTCTTGACTTTACTTGGTTAATTTCTGTCACAAAGAGAATAGCGACCGCAAGTTGTGGAATTTGAGCACGCTAATGCAAAGCGCTTGAATGCTTCGCAACCGTCCGCCCAGTTCCCACATGTTGCGGCTGTTCCTTGTGTCATGACAGTCATATCTTGAAGCGTGTGCATACTTTCATAACCTTTCAACAATCTCGTTTGACAAATACAAAAGCC